CTAGCTGAAATGTAGGGGGTGGGATATTTTATATATCAAAAAAAGATATATAGTATGTCAAAACACGAGACTTGCAGTGAAAGCAGAATTCAGAAGTCAATTTAAATTTTATATAGTAAAACAAAAAGAGGGCGCCTGGGTGGCTCAGTGGGTCAGGCCTCCAACTTCATCTCAGGTCATGATCTCACAGTGAGTTACGAGCCCGGCACTGGGCTCTGCACTGACAGCTCAGAGCCAGGAAACTGCTTTGGATTCTGTGTCTCCCTATCCCTCTGTTTCTCCCCTGCTGGAGCTCTGTCTCTGTCTCTCAGAAATAAACATTAAAAAAATAAACATAAAAAGTTACAAATAAGCTAAATGTCTTTGTTTAAAAAGGAAAGAACAAAATAAAGCAAAGAAAATAGATAAACTTTTAAAAAGGAAAAAATGTTAAAGTGTTAGTTTGATGGTAAAAATTATGTATCACTTAACATCTGAGGAGACTAATCGAAAAGAAAGAAAAGACAGGCTAAAAAAGAAAAAGAAAGAAACTGAACTACAGGTAACTAATGATGAAAAAGCTAAGAAGATACTACTGATTAAGAAAGTAAGAAACTACTCTGTTCCAATAAATTTGAAAAGTTAGATGAAATAAATCTTTAGATAAGTGTAACTTACCAAAACTGACTTATGAAGAAATAGAAAGTGTGAATAGCTCTTATAACTACTTACAAAATTCAAATTTTAGTTAAGCAATTCAGTAAAAAACCATCAAGCTCATATTGTATTAAAGAATAATTCTTGGGGCGCCTGGGTGGCTTAGTCGGTTAAGCGTCCGACTTTCACGTAGGTCATGATCTCACGATTTGCGGCTTTGAGCCCCGCGTTGGGCTCTGTGCTGGCTGCCAGCTCAGAGCCTGGAGCCTGTTTCAGTCTGTGACTCCCTCTCTCTGAGACCCTCCCCTGCTCACACTCTCTCTCTCTTTCCTAGAAATAAATTAAAAAAAAAAAAAAAAGAATAATTCTCCGAGCTGTCAAGGAATTGATCATTCCAGTTTTAAAAAATTCTTCCCTAAGAAAAATATAAATAGTCCATAATTCAAACTGTATGGACAATATAATCTTAATTTCATACAAAAATAAGAATAAAAAATTACAGGCCAATTTCACTCATGAACTGAGAATCAAAAATCTAAACAAAATATACATGAAATTGAACAGAATATTAAAAAGTTTATACATTTGACCAAGTTGAGTATCCAGAAATTCAATGACAAATTATCATTAGAAAAGTTAACATAATAAAGGAGGAAAAAGACTTCAACATTTTCATCTCATTAAATGTAGGAAAAGCATTCAATGAATATTTATTTAGGACTTAGTCTATAATCAGTGTAGGTTTTCCTAATTTTAAAGACTAAACATGAAAATGTTTGATAACTTTATAAAATCTAGAAATGGTATGTACATTTATTATAGCTATGGAAATAACAAGCATATGACCAAAAGATGAGAAGGAATACACAGACTTGAATATAGTGCCAAGGTGACAGGCTATTCCTTTAACATTGTTATTATATTATTTATGTAAAAGAAATGTATTTAAAATATTAAACTATCAACCTCATTTTATTTTTAAATTTATTTTAATGGTCCAAATAATAAGTTTCATTTTTAGTTCTCATTATACTTGTCCGGATGGTTGCTTTTCATAAATACTAATGGATTAAGCATAGATCATAATTTACAAACACGTACTTATATTTATCAGCCTAAAAAAGAGAAAATAAGTGAATCTATTTATAACTTGTGACATCATTTTCATAAACATTATCATTTTATTTTATTTTTTGTTATTCATTTTTTTAGTAGTTTATTGTCAGGTTGATTTTCATATAACACCCAGTGCTCATCCCCACAAGTGCCCTCCTCCATGCCCATCTCCCCCCTTCCCCCCCCCCATCAGCCCTTGTTTTGTTCTCGGCATTCAAGAGTCTCTCATGGTTTGCCTCCCTCTTTCTCCCCCACTATTTTTCCCCTTCTTCTCCCCCTCATTTTATTTTTTAATTATGCTAAGAAGTAGAAAAGGTGGCATTTTTCCATTTTAAGATGAATAAACTCTCATTCAGAGAGTAAAATACCTTGGTAAAACTTATAGCAGGTGACAATAACCCAAACTTAAAGAATATTGAAAAAATTCTTCCCATGTGCCAGCCCCTGTGTTAGTTGAGAGTATACAATGATGATACAGACCTTTTAATTGAACATTAGTTTTCAAATCATCAGTCACCTAAAATCACCTAAAAGATGTGTGGAGCAATTCAAGTTAGAAAAGATCCAGATGTATGTTGGCTTTACCAAGAGCCATGTGGTGTTGGACAAATTGCTACCCTGAACCTCAATTCCTGAGTCTCAATAAAATGGATGCTCATAGCACATTGCTGTGTCTTTCAGAGGTTCTGCTAGATGATTTAATTGTAGAACTTTGTGAACTATAAGACACCATGCACAGGACACCATATATATGCCTTATTTATTCACCAAAAGCCAAACCTTATACATTTTCCATTAGAATGTTACAAGTAACCAGCATATAGAAACAGCATTTAGATCTGAAATATTCTAATATACTTAATAAATATACAACTAACCCAAGAGAAGTTGTAAGAGAGCATTGGATAGATGTTGTTAAATAATACTAACAGCAATACAACAGACATGAAGTTGTTTGATTTGTTGACTCATGAGAAGCTTGAAGTTATTTACTCAATTTCCCATTCCTTCCTTTCACTTTTTCTTATAGATTCTTAAAGGAATAAGATTGCTATATTCAATGGCATATTTTCAAGTATTTAAAGTTGTTTAAAATAAGATAAAAATACAGATTAAGGTTCTGATCTTGGCTTCATTTACTGGAATATTTGGAGTACCTTCTACGTGCCAGGCAGTGTGCTAGTCTCTGGCAGAAATAGAAAAAAAGCTAGGGCTTCTGCTCTTGTGTTGCTTATTTTCTGTGTGCCCTTGAGTATTCTACATGATCTCTTTCGATTCAAAGAATACAGTCTCTGGTATGAAAATGAAACAAGATTATCTGTGTAATGAACATAACACAGAGCCTATGGGAAGTATAAAAATGGATTTCAAAATTTTCTTAGGTCTTTGTCAGTATTTTTCATTTTATAGCCAATTTTTAAAAATGTTTATTTTTCAGAGAGAGAGGGTACAAGCAGGGGAGGGACAGAGAGAGAGGGAGACACAGAATCGAAAGCAGGCTCCAGGCTCAGCACTGTCAGCACAGATCCTGATGTGGGGCTCAAACTCACAATCATGAGATAGTGGCCTGAGCCGAAGTCGGACACTTAACCAACTGAGCCACCCAGGCGCCCCAATTGTTTTCATTTTAAATAAGAGTTTTCAATGTAGCTGTAGAAATAAGGGAATAAGTTTACAAACCATCATTCTCTAAACCTAAAGCTTAGAATTGGAACTTGGGGTTATGGGTCACTATTAGGATTTACCCCCATAGAACTTCTCAGGGTTGTTTCCTGAAACAAAACTTTCATGTAACTGATAGAGGGAATTGCCTTTCTATGGCAAGCAATCTAAAAGATGGGCTATATGGATTAGAGCTAGAAAAAGGAATCAGACCACAGGAAATAAAAACCTGATACTGTTAACCCAGATCATTAAAGAAAGTGGACACGGTAGGGGAACAGTAGTTTACTCCAGGTTCTACTTTGGAATGAAAAATACTACAAGATTACACAACTCCTTGTTCTAATTCCCTTTCTCAAATTAGAAACTTTCTGAACCTTCATATATTTTCCAAGAAAATGTTGCTACCAACAAACTTGGATAGGGACAAAAATATCTTGATGAATGCAGTTATATCCCCCTAATAAAAATTAACAAATGGGGTGACTGGGAATCACTCTGCCAGCTGTGGAGCCTCTGGGTAGACTCACAAAATGAGGTTCCTACACACCCTAGACAAATATTCTAAACTGTCCCCAAAGGGCAGCCACCAAGGACATAACGAGGAAATTTAACTATTTTAAACACTTCATTTAACAGAGGAGGCAACTGTAACACCAAAGTTGTGATTTATTGTTAATCTAATCAGTGGCAGAAGCTGCACTAAAAACCTGGGTCTTCTAATTCGGGTTTTTTTTTATTCTTTTACCATCAAATGCTATATTAAATCCAAGGGCTTATATTTGCATTCACTGTACTTTAAGCAAATTTCTTCCTCATCTTTAAGTCAGTGCTTTAAAGTACTGTTTGGCCTTTGAATTTCAGGGAGTGGTGAATTGCAGAAATGAGAAAACAAACTTGACGAACAACGTAATTTTAATACAGGTTGATGCTGATTAATTGGTTAGGATATTAAATTTAAAAGGCCAAAGTCCAGGATTTAAACTCCAAATGGGCCAGTTAGCTTTTAAAATGAACTTAAAAATTTTTTTTGACAACACATGTTGTTGGTTAAAGAAAACTCTTCACTCCTTGGGGGGGGGGGGGCGCGGGGAAGGACCTACAAAAGTCATTCTGATAGAAAAAAAGTGTTTGGTCACTTTGAAAACTACACTCAGTTTTCAGCATTCTTGGAAATAAGCCTTAAAAATATATTTTTTTAATGTTTATTTATTCTTGAGAAAGCAGCCAGAGCTGGGAAGGAGCAGAAAAAGAGGGAGACACAGAATTGGAAACAGGCTTCAGGCTCTGAGCTGTTCGCACAGAACGGGAGGAGGAGCTAGAACTCACAAACTGCGAGGTCATGACCTGAGCCCAAGTTGGACGCTTAACCGACTGGGCTACCCAGACGCCCCAGTAATGAGCCTTCTAATAAGCAAGCTATTGTTAATCTCATGGCTTTAGGTAAGGTACTTCCAATGCCACTCCTCTATCCACAAAATCCACAATACGAGGCAGTAACTTTACACATTTATAATTATAAATTATAACTCCATCTATTATAAATTAGCACCTAAAATACTATTTTGGACGCATGAAAGTATAGATCTGGTGCAAGCACTGGAATTTTAATTTTGTAAGCCATACATTCAAGTAACCAATAACAAAACATTGCCCACAGTGAACCGGGGCCTGGGTTGACACCTGGAGCTTCTTTTTTCTTAAGTGCAGTATCATGAGCCACCCCCAAGAGCTAACAACAGGTCTGTCCAGACGCTGAGCCCGGGGACTTGGAAATCTCCATCCTGCGCCTTACAGGCCTTCAGGGCAGTTACAACTTCATCTTTCAGAGGTGGGGGGGCCTGACAGAGGCTTTGAAATTTGCCGTACAACTCCTCCCAGGGCACATGTTGGGGCTCGGTTCCAACCCAAACGCCTTTCGGAAGGTCGTAGCGCAGATGTCGACCCCAGTCTGTGAGCAGCCCCAGGTAGAGCCGGGAGAGCTCTGGGTGGCGGCCTGCCACCGAAGTTAAAAGCCCGGCTGGGAGGTTACGGCAAAAGGCAGCCATGACTTCCGACTTCGCCAAAAGCCAACGGACCAGCTCCTGATCCCCGTCTCCGAGTGTTTTGGGGGTGCCCGGTTCCAACTCCTCTTCCGGGGCCCGCGGAGACGACGGGGGAAGCAACAGCGCGGTCGCCAGCACCTTCAGAAAGTTGTTCTGAGGCAAGCGCTCCCACAGGGTGCTGAGAAACGGGCTGGGGCCCTCGGCTTCGGCCTTCGGCACCTCCCGCAGACGCTCCAGCAGCAGCTCCGCCTGGGTCTTCAGCACGGAGTCCTCCTCAAACCCCGCGTTCTCTCCGCAGCCGCCGAGGCGCAGCATGTGGACGGCGGACCGGCGGCGGGCGAGGCGGGCCAGGCTGCCTTGGAGCGTCTCCTCGTCGGCGTCCGGGCCGCCAGGGCCCGGAAAGAGCTCCTGCAGCAGGCAGTGATAGGCGGCATCCCCCAGGGCCCGGTTCTCTAACAGGCGCAGAGACAGCAGGAGGTCACAGCGCTCCAAGGCCTGGAAGTTCGTCAACCCGGGGACTGGAGAGGCCCCGGAGCCGCCCTCCAGTCTCCACTGGCTTTGCAGCCGCCGTTCCAGAGCCGTGCGAATGCGGACATGGTGACCAAAGCGCCTATGGACGTGGCGCAGGTAGCGAGCCCACTGCAAGGCCCTGCGGACTGTCGCGGGGTCCCAGGTCCTGACGTGGGTCGTGCGGGAGACCGCCAGCACCTCGGAGAAGCGCTCCAAGTGCTGCAGGAGCGATTCCATGGGGGCGTGCTTACTTCCGCGTTCTCCTTGGAGACGCCGACTCTCTGCGTGCCGATTGGAGCGTCTGTGTAAGGATACGCCTCTCTACAGTGCCATTGGATAAAGGCCCTGTCAATATGACAAGGATTTTTTTTTTTCATCCGGGTACTTTGACCCTGGGAAATTTAAACTGGAGAAAAATCCCCGCGGTTTTACTTTCGCCGCCAAAGTTAAGGGTGGAGGGGAGTAAGTGCGGGGTGTTCTAAACAGAGTGCCCTGCGCCACGTGCGAGGTAGTGTTAGTCGCGAGTCATCATGCTTCCTTTCACTTTGCAAATAAGCCCTGGCAGGAATTTCCTGAGCTTTGCCCGAGATGGCCTGTGGGGCTGAGGTTTATTGCGTAAGGCCAGACATGCTGTTAAATATTAAATGAAATCTTTAGTTCAATTCAGTTTAGTAAAAAATGTACTGACCACCAATTAATTAATGCCAGGCACACTCTTAAATTCTGGGCCTTCACATTGTCATTTCGTTATTAGAACTGAAGCCCAGATTAACCGAAACAAAAAACTTCAATACTAGTACTTTATTAAAATTTTTAAAAACTTAAATTTGTATTACGAAATTGCGCTCTTTTTGTTTTCTTTATTTCATGGCAAAATAGCTTAGTTGACTTTTATTTCACACACCTAATTGAGCAAAATGACAGTTAAGACACTATAACAAAAACAGATAATTTGACTAAGATTGTGGGAAGAGAGGGGAGAGGAAGGATCCATTTCTGGAATGTCATCTGGATTATTCGCTCATTTATGCATTCAACAAATACTCATTTGCCAACTTCTAGAGGTTGCACTATCTAAATACCCACGACAGTTTCTAACTACCGATGTTGGTGACAGAATTCATTTAAGCTGAATTTCTTTACGGTCCTAAAGACACTAGCCAAAACTTCTAATTTAAGTAGGCAGAATTGATGTTTCCTTTTGTTTTAGCAAAAAAGGAAAGAGAAACAAATTTAAGAGAGGGAAGAGTTGTGTTTTATTTATTAAAATGAGCATTCCCACACCTTTTTTTTTTTTTAATAAATAAAGCAGTGGTGCTGATGCTGTTAATTCAGTATTATTTTTTGATATTTTTCCACCCACAATCTTTTGGTCTTGAAGCATAACTTGATTTTATGCTAAGGATCTCATATCCTGAAATTCTTTGTATTGGCTATTAGAAACTTTAGGCCCAGGGGCGCCTGGGTGACTCAGTTGGTTAAGCATCTGACTTTGGCTCAGGTCATGACCTTGTGGTTTGTGGGTTCAAGCCTGGCCTCAGGCTCTATGCTAACTACTCAGAGCCTGGAGCCTGCTTCAGAGTCTGTCTCTCTCTGCCCCTCCTCCGCTCACACTCTCTGTGTGTCTCTCTGTCTCTCAAAAAAAAAGATAATAATAATGTTAATGAAAGAAAGGAACTTTGATTCCAGCATACAGGTTGCCTTTAGAAAACGTACAAACTTCACTAATTCACTCATTTATTTATGCCTTTATGAAGACTACTTACTATATCACATACTGTAAGATACTAGGGACTTAGTGCTAAAGAAAATAAATGTGGCCCTTGTCATGGTGAAGAAGTTCATCTCCTCACTTTTGAGAGTGACATTAAACAAATAACCTCAAATGTGATAAGTAAGATATAATGAAGTAGGTCAGCAGGACTTGGGTGATAGGGAGCCTCTTTAAGAAACTGGCTTTTCCCTGGAAAGCTCAAAGATGAGTGTCGCAAAAAGTTTTCATGACCAAGGGAACAGTTAAGTTGCAGATACTTGAGAAAGTCCAATCCCTTCAAGAAGGTGAGAGGCCTTTTGTTCAGGATGGGGTGAGACCTTATGGCAAAAATTGTTCATATTAATTTCTCCAGCTTCATATCTTTCCATTTATTTCTTTAAAATGCTATTTTAGGGGCATCTTGTTGGCTCAGTTGTTAAGCGTCCAACTCTTAATTCCGGCTCAGGTCATGATTTCATAGGTTCATGAATGTGAGCCCCGTGTCTACTCTGCTCTGACAGCTCGGAGCCTGCTTCTAATTCTCTCCCTTCTCTCTCTGCCCCTCCCCTGCCTGTGCATGCTCTCTCTCTCACTCAAAATAAATAAATAAACATTTTTTAAAAGATATTTTATTTTAATCCTTACTTGAGTATTATAATGTATAAATTTATGCATATTTCACATTAGCCTATTTTCCTTTTTTTTAATGTTTATTTTTGTGAGAGAGAGAGTGCAAGCAGGAGAGGAGCAGAGAGAGAGAGAGAGAGAGAGCCTGTATCCAAAGCAGGCTCTAGACTCTGAGCTGTCAGCACAAAGCCCAGTGGCCTGGAGATTGGGGTGGGGTGCAGTTCGGTGCTGGAACTCACTCAGGTGCCCCAGCCTATTTTCCTTAAACAATGTCTATGAAGTTTTCCCCTTTAGAAGGAAGAAAGAAAAGCATAGGGTTTAGAGCTTCTTCTCAATGTTCCATTTAATTGAACAAAATTCAATGAGCATTTTTTAAGCTTCTACTCTTTATAAAGTGTTAGGGATTCAAAGATGATTATGACAGGGCTTTCACTTCAAGGAATCTATAGTCTGGGGGCACCCATGTGACTCATTTGGTTAAGCATCTGACTCTTGATTTTGGCTCAGGTCATGATCTCACGGTTCGTGAGTTTGAGCCCTGCATCGGGGCCTGTGGTGGCTTCTCTCTCTCTGTCCCTCGCCCCCCACCTCTCTCTCACAATAAATAAATAAACCAAAAATTTAAAAAAAATGGTGTCTACAATCTTAGAGGAGGGGCGGGGAGGGGCACAAAAATTCTTAATGATAATGCAAATCAGTTGGTATATATTTTAAAAATTGTAAGAATGATTCTATGAGAGACCAGTTGTAAACTGGAGAGTTCTACTGCAGCTTTATAAAGGACCAATACTTTATTTAGGCCTTGAACTGAGCAATCATGGAATAAAGGAAAATTCAAATGAGAGGAATAACACAGTAAAACATATAATGACATGAACATGTAGTGTGTGGGCTACAAATACCAGGAGCAAGCTTCCATTTCTTGGTTATGATCCCTAAGTTCTTGGGAGACAGTAAATTAAGACAGTGAACGGAGAGCTGACAGTTCAGAGCCTGGAGCCTGCTCCGGATTCTGTCTCCTTCTCCCTCTCTCCTTGCCCGTCCCCACCCTCTTGAAAATAAATAAACATTAAAAAACTAAAAACAAAAAAGAAGACAGTGAATGAAAGGCCAAGTTTCAGGAGATTCTCATTAAAATATAATAGCTATTCAAGCCATGGCTGTTAAGCATCAGAAATAACTAAGGTTCAAGAAAAAAAGGCTTTCACAAAAAACCTATCTCATAGGGTCCTGGTGAAGAGCAAATGAAATAATAAGTGGAAAATGCCATACTTGATATTATGACTGTCTTTCAATTGTCCATGCTATCATTACTCCCATCCACTTTGAATGATAAAAATGCAACTGGGGATACTGACTCAGCTCAGCTCAAGGGGTAGTACTTGGGAATTTTGAGCCGCTCATTTTAATCCACCCCTCTTTTAATTCAATAATTAATTTAGGAGCCCAGACTTTTATTTATTTATTTATTTATTTATTTATGAGAGAGAGAGACAGCACAAGTGGGGGAGGGGCAGAGAGAGTGAGGGAAACAGATTCCAAGCAGGCATGGACGTGTCAGTGTGGAGCACTATGCAAGGCTCGAACTCATGAAATCAAAACCAAGAGTCCGAGGCTTAATCAACTGAGCCACCAGGGGCCGCCAGATCCCAGTCTTAAGACTTGGCATGGATAGGAATACTACATGGCAATGAGAAACAATGAAATCTGGCCATGTGTAGCAACATGGATGGACCTTGAGGGTGTTATGCTGAGCAAAATAAGTCAGGCAGAGACGGACAGATATCATTTGTTTGCACGTATAGGAGGATTAGGAGGAACTTGACGGAGGAACAAGGGGGAGAAGAAGGGGGGAAATGGTGGGGGAAAGGGAGAGAGGCAAACCATGAGAGACTCTTGAATGCTGACAAAAACTGAGGACTGATGGATGTGGGGGGGAGGGGGGATGGGCATGGAGGAGGACACTTGTGGGGATGAGCACTGAGTGTTATGTGGAAACTAATTTGACAATAAACTATTTGTAAAAAATAAAAAAATAAATTTAAATAAATTTAAAAAATTTAAAAAAAAGAAAAAAGAAAAAGAAATATGAATAAATATAAACATACGCATTGGGAAAAAAAAAGACTTGGCATGGATAGAATTTCCTAATGACAGAAATTTGTTAAAAAATGGCCAAGTGAATTAATTTCAATCAATTAGGCCTAGATGATTCAGGGAATATGTTCTTACTCTTCAGAGTTGGGAGAGCACGAACGTTGAGGTAACATTGACAAATATGAAGAAGAAGTGGTAATGGACTCTCTGAGTGCACATGCTTAAAAGTTAGTTTCTTTCTTCCCTGATATTGTTATATGTTTATATGAAGTCCAAAGCTGCTGCAGTCATCTCCTTCCCCAGAGCCAAGAGAATCTCAGAATCACAAAGAACCCATTGAATTAAGACAACTCTCAAACTAACCCTGTTTAGGATTATAGCCCTATATGTTCCCAGTTGTGGGGTGTGTGTGTGTGTGTGTGTGTCATTTGATTGGTTGATTGTGGGGTTTTGTGTGTGTGCCAGTTTTAGTTTCATCTTTGTGGCTTTCAGCTAAATGCACCCAATGAGTACAAGCCCTTTAGAACACTGTGCAGCACATATAAACAATACGCTTTGGCTGTTGTTGTTGTTGTTATTATATAAGCCTCCAAAGTATACATTTTCCCACATCTGCTCTAAATTCCACTCCTCCTAAGTATAAAGAGCAACCACCAACATCGCTATGGGTGATGGTGAAGAAAATTTTATTGAAGAAAGAGGCAGCTTGCTGCTGTGGTATTTACTCTTGGTCCTGCAAGTTTTCTAATACAATCTTGTT